ATTTTCTTATGATTTTAATTTTCAATATCCATATGTAAAGAGAAAAAAGATTTAATGATATCATATGTATCAAGCTATCAATGGAGAGTAAAAGATTACCGCGTGAATACAGTAAATAGGATACTTTCAAACTCCAAGAAAGTTTTATTACACCTTTTTTATTTCTGTACTTTGATGGAATGCCAAAAAGGGTGTGTCTTTTTCCTTGCGACAGTGTCCCCTAGGAAATGATTGCGAGTTACTTCAGTAGTGGCAGCCCTGCGATGCTTCTAGTGTTTCGATTCTCATGAGCCAGCGTAACATCAGGTCGATTCTCAAAACTTTATTCTTTTGTGTGAACGTAGAAAGAATTTTAATGCTTCCGTTTGAACTTGGTATAACATTTTACAATAGAATGGCACTTTATTGCGTAATGCCCACCCATTTGATAGTCGACTGTCATTTTCTCGACTAATTTAATTTTCTATACGTGTCACATGCGTCGTGATATTATGTGTATTTGCATACACTAGAAATGTTGATTCGAAACTGTTTTGGAAACTAGATATACTCATAGGCATAGTAACGGTTTCTAGAAAATAAGTATCTATACTATTTTTTGCATTTGGAGTATCGGTCCGGTCGAGCTGGCCAATTATCAATAGTTACCATAGAACTCACATGTCAGAAGTTTGTGTGTAAAACCTACGAATAGGTAGATACTAAAATTTCTTACTAAATAAGGTGCTGAGAGGCATTTTATGTCGTCGCTCTTTGCGATCAAATACATAAAATATGATCAGAAGCATAATGTTTTCCAAATCAATTTTGTATTCATCACGTAACATAAGTTCACAACACATTAATCAAATCGCCTTTGCTTAAAAATTAAAGATTTCCCTGTTTCCGTGTCAGTCGTCGTCGAAATTTAATTCTTGCCGTATAGCTTATTAAAGCATTGCATAAAAGGGGGGGAGATAAATACGGCTTTTTTTTCATGCATGGCTTACCGTAACCCTTATAATTGACGCCCTTCCACCAATGACGATAACCAATGTTATGGGGGCGTTTACACCTATACTGTTTTGCAACGAGGACCGCATTTCAAAGACACTTTTAACTTTTCGATATGTATCCCTTGGCTAACTGAAGTATTAGTTGCAGATTTTTTCCAAAACGATCCGACTTTTTTTTACAAAACTATTCCTCAGGGGTTTTATTTATCTTCCCGAATTTAACACATATACTTAAAACCGGGGACAAAGCTTAAGTAAAATTCTTTCAATTAAACAGTATACTAGGTATAAACTTTAGCAACCAACCGTGGTAATGTTTCGTTGGCGACGCGAACGTCGAATCATGCAAAAACCGTTTTCTCTGAACATTTTTAGATTTTTTAAAAAAACTTAGCGGAACACATATACAAAAAACTATGCAGTTTTTATATTGCTTTATGTAAATTAATTTTGAATTTAGAGGTTTCTTTGGAGGCCCAAATTATAAAACCAATAAAAGGGAATCTGTAGCGTATGATAAATCAAATTAAAAGAGTTGTTGTAAGGGGTCGAATATATATATATATACAGCACACACAGGTACAGGAACATTTTAAGAAATCTATGTTCTAAATCTGAACTTAAAATAAACGGTACTGCAACTTCTAATCACAGGTTGTTCAGTAGCTTATCTAGGAATGCAGTACTTAAAACAAACATTTAGCTATCACACTGTAAAAATTGTAACTATTGCACTGAATATATGTAAAACCACTATAACGTTAAATTGTAGTGTATTATTACAAAAAAATGTTACAAAATTACATTTTGTTTTTTATGTTACGGAGCTTTTTATTTTACGGTCTATCATTAAGGCATTTGTCATATTAACGAACTTGCTTTATTGACTAAGCACTTGAAACGTTAGGACCATTTCTTATTACTTGTCTTAAATCGACATCTAATTATTTATTATCATATTCCTAATAAAATTTTTGGGCTGGTCTGATTAAGCGCTGAGCTAACAGCTGAAAAGCGGTTTTAGGTTTTCCTATTTTTTATATGTATGTAACCGGACTGAAATTTCAACAAAACTAATAGGAGGTTACCGGATTGTGTTTCGTATATTATAGATATTCTTGCCCAGAACTGCAAATTATCCCAAATAAAACAGTCTGGCAATCCCAAATAAAGACAGATGTAATATTAAACTGCCATTTATACCTCCCGATGGGCACAAAAATAGGAAACAACACACGATCGATTTCATCAAAAATATCAAATCTATACTATAGAATCCATAGAAGAAAGAGGTTAGAAGAAAGCACTAGAGTGTAACGGGAGAGAAGATAGGGCTTAAAACGATTGGGAACATTCGGGAATGGGAGATTACCAGCATTTAGCGATGATAGTGATTTCACACGGCAGTTTTATCCCAAACTAGGCAGAGCCTGTACTATGGTAACCAGCCTGCTGATGAACACACTTATATATTTCTAAATACATACAAATTATAGATAAATTACTTAGTAATAATAATAAACTTACTCATTAATTAATTAGAAAAAATGATCAATCTCATCACACAATATCTGTCCTGGGTAGGAATCGAAACCACGACCTGTGGCCTAGCAGTCAGAATCCCTAAACCACCAATCCAACAGACCCGTCAAATGTATCATTGTTGTACAAATTATAAGAAATAAAAATAAAAATACGACACAAGAACTAAATAGAAACCTAATTTTATGTATGAATTTATAAAATAACAACAATACACAATGAACCATAATAATAACAGTTCCTTAATAAGTGTTGGCTTGAAACATCAAAGGTCACGTGCTAAAAAAAACTTTTACAAATGTAGAAGGATATTTCTGGCATTTGGCGCATGTGTAACCCCCCATAATTACAAAAGGCGCCAGGTGCTCGAACAGAAGGCGAGGCACGTGCACACAACATCTGCCTAAGAAAAAGTATTCATAATAGTATACTTATACAGCTGGTTCTGTCGAAGATGACAAAGAGTGTGTCTTATATGATGTGTATGTACTTGTGTTGAGTTGCATCAGCTGATCGATTTATTATGACTGTTTATTAAAATTGTATTTGTAAAATTGCCAGTATATACAACCAATAGCGCTGGTATAGGAATACACTAAGCAAACGTAGTACTCCTTTGCATACTTTAATAAAGTATTTTATATTTATAAAAAATAAAAAATAAGTAGTCACACCGAAGCTGATTATCTGCCTCGCATTGCATTATCCGAAATTTTTCTTTGATATGAATAAATACATACGCAAGTATGTATGATGTAGAGAAAAAATATTTTATATTAGCATATGTCCAACCCGTCTGGCCAGCGTGGTATAGTAGGCCAAAACCTCCTTTCTAAGGAGAGGCCTATGTCCAGCAGTGGACTAGTATAGGCTGTTGATGATGATGATGATGATGTGATTAGTATATGGTTTAAAAAAAAAAAAAATAAGCAAGCTCTTGTCAGAATAAAAATAATCTATATGGTAAGGTATCTTAGTAATATATCACTAAGATATCAGTTCTGTCACTTCCATGTTCTAATACTTAAAGTATGTGTTCAAGACGAACAGCACACTGCAGCAAAACTAATGATTTCTTTAAGGATGATTCCGAGCAGAGCAATATTGATCATCAGGATCCTCTTCTTAAAATACCTAATTATACTCGTAAACCATGGGTGAACGCTGAGGTATGGAAAAGGAGTTGGCTCAGACGGTATACCTATGAGTGGCTGACTCTATTCTTCAATATGTTGTTGCATGAAGAGTTAATCCCAAAGAAATGGTGTCAAAACCAACTCGTACCCATTTAAAAAATAAAGGGTAGTTCAGGAATGTTACAACTATCGAGGAATAAAGCTCAGCTCAGCCACAAGAACTACAGCTGGAAGCTCTCCGTCAACCATCGTACTCACCGGACATTGCTCCAACAGATTTTTACTTTTTTCAAAATTTAATCCATTTTTTAAGGGGGGGGGGGAAATTCAACACCCGAGAGTCAGTACAAAAGACTCGCTGACTTCATCGCCTCTCGTCCAACAGTTCTTTTTTCTTCTACAGTAAAGTGATGAACTAACTGCCATCAAAATAGCAAAAGTGTATAGATAGTTTTGGCCAGTACTTTGATTGGCTAAAATAAAAAATACCCAAAAAAAATAAATTTCAAAATTTTCATACAAATGTCCGTCTTATATTATTAATTATTCCATAACATTTAATAAGGGTTATAAACTGAATACGCGCCCTTGATGCAATTCCTTAGAAGATCTAACTGCTGAAGTAGTCATAAACTTATTTTATATGTTGTTATCTCTAATATTCATTTTAATCCAGTACTTATTTATACTGTGCGTGGGAAAAATATCTGATCCTTTATATCTTTTTTTCTCTGAGAGTAAAATAGACTTAGACAGTGACTGATTAATACGGTTGGGACTGATTAGACGAATTGCTGAACAGTGATCTGTTTTTTGTCAAAGGAATGCCCTTGGTCTATCCGAAATTTCCGCAAGGTCAAATTGTATGTACGTGAAAAAGGCTTTGATCTCAAACAGCTTTAGTATAATTCAGCCCTCAGAAATGTAAGTTATTGAAATACTGGAAGAGTTTGTTTTTTATTGAACTGCTTCCAAAACGAGACTTTTATATTCGTTTCCACTACATAGAAGTTATTTCTTTTTATACCGTCTTTTTTTGTTTCTCGAAGTATTTTGAATATATAAGTAAATAGGAGTAGTTTTTTTTTAAATAATGTCACAACCTTAACACTCTTTTGGGTGATTATTGTAGGTCTTATAGGTTAAAAAAGTTAAAGAGATGTACATTATATTTGCCTTTTTTTATTCTGCAATGGCTGAAAATCTATTGTAAAGATGTTTTTGACAACGTAATGTAACTATGTATTTTTCTTACTTGGTCTACTGTATTTTAAAGAATTGATTCTTTTATTAAGGTTACATTGTATTACTATGTTCTTTGTTACAGGATTGCCATGGACCCGAGTCAGAAGATAAAGCGGTAGCTGACGAAGTACAGAACTACGAGCTCATATCTGGCTACCAGAATGACACCCACACTACTGTAGAGTTTAGAAGACAGCTGGACACTTGTGATACCCAGGACTTTATTATTGGAGTAAGTGACATTTCCTAACCTCATATATATATATATATATATATATATATATATATATATATATATATATATATATATATATATATAGAGATCGTTCCTAAATATATATAGATCCGCATATTTTACATGCATTATTTATTTCTAAGAAGCAACATATTTCTCATATAGATTTCAACATTATATTCTGAATGAATAATTCAAAGGATATTTAAGCCGATAGACGTCACACGGTCTTAGAGTTAATGGTTAAGGTTCTTAACGTTCTGAAAGAAGTAGGACACAGTAGATTTCTGTTCGAATTCCAGCAACACGACTGTAGTAGTACTTACCACTCTTTGTGTACGAGAAGTGTGTGGGTAATTTGTTGCGAAAAACCTGTATTGCAAAGTGGGGTTTAGTGCTGCACCTGGTAAAAGCTTATGTAGCCCGTGTACGTTTTTACACACCTTCTTTTAAAGAAATAGATTAGTGTAAAGTTTTGGTCCTCGACAAATGTATTATAATGTGATGACGGTCGTAATAAAGATTAAACTCCAATCATTATTGAAGCGCTAAAGTTTTCTTATAGTTTGCCAATTTGTCGTGCTTATATTATATAGAACTGGTCTTAGAAATTATTTTTGTTTTAGATTTCCATTTAATGAGAATATTTATAGGCTGTTATAACAGCAGAATTAACTAAATAAAATTTAGTTTATTTCTTATTATATATTATTATTTTAGTTAATTATTTTAGTTTAATCTGCTAGTAATCTAAATTTACTTTTTAGTAAGGTTAGATTTTTTTTTAATTCAAACTTCTATCTTACAGGATGACACAACTCAAATCCTTTGGGCGTTAGGTCCCCCAGGCTCGGATGGTCAGTTGCCAAAGCACGTGAAAAGTGGCTCAAGACCGTTACGTCTTCTGCAGCCAGTTTCGAAGCCTGAATCCATACCACTTATGCATTGGGATGTCCGATTGACAAATGTAAGTATAAGGAATTCTTCTTCGTTATTAGCGGTTATTTATAGAAAAGTGATAATATTTAGGTAAAAATTAAAAATACAAATTCAAAAATTTATATATAAATATAATATATATATATATATATATATATATATATATATATTTATTAAGGTCTTTACCTATGAAATTGCCCTTTTGTATGCAATAAGTGAAAGTACTTATTTTTTCAAACTTTTTTATTTCTGTTATACGAAGTAATCACCCATGCAATCGACGCATCTTTGCCAACGCATTGGCAGTTTTTTGATGCCCTTCTTGTAAAAATCAGCTGGACGGTAGGCAACAAACTCTTCAAAGGCATTTTGTACTGCCTCTCGGGAATTGTATTTTTTACCCACTAAAAAGTTGTCTAAATTTTGGAAAAAGTAATAGTCGGTAGGTGCAAGGTCTGGTGAGTATGGCAGATGAGGGAGAGCTTCCAACCCCAGCTCTTGCAGCTTGGAGACTGTCTGTTGCGCAGTATGGGGTCGCGCGTTGTCGTGAAGAAGCAGTGGGGACGACCGATTGACCAAAGCTAGTTGCAGATGTGACCACCAGACCTTGCACCTACCGACGATTAGTGCATTATGTTCGCCAATTATTTGTCTAAACCGCCCAACATTGCAGTAGTCCACATCCCACATGCCAAAAAATCTATGGTCTAAGTTCAAATATTATATTTCTTCTTTGACCTTTAAGAGATTATCGTGGTAAGAAATGGCGATGTCAACAATTGCTCGTCTCTTTAATTTGTCATTACCACTACACTTATTAGCAACAATAGCTCTATCAGTGATGGATAGATCGATCCCAGTATAATTTTGCAAGACGATTTTCAAGAACCGGCCTGTGCCTGAGCACATGCCTGTAGTAACAGGTATGTGTCTATAGGGATCAAGTAATTCGAGAGCCAGAAGGTTATATTTAAGTCGTTTTGTTGTTGTCGATTGTCTATTTTACCCATTGGCTATGTGTATGCAAATACTCACCGTTTTCAAAACGAGTACAAGCGGAAAATATACGTATGAGAGGTTCTGCGGGACGATGCCGTGTCTGACAAATGTCAATCAATACGGTAAGTTTCTTGTGGTTAAACGGCGATTTAATGAAGCACTTAACTTCCTTTACATAAGACGGTGAAGAACTTATGTCACTGTTTGCAAGTTTCTTAGTAATTGTGAACCAAATACATATTAAAGTAAATGTTTTGGAAATACCTAGACAATGATGTCATAACCCATTATTTCTATTTTGTCAAAAGGTCAAAAAACAATTACAGATTTTTTTTATATTTTAAAAAGAAAACTGATTTTATTTGATAGTCAAGTGACGTATTGTTCCATCTTGCAAGAAAATATACCTCTGATAGTTATTCGTTAGAAAAATAAAGTTTTTTTTCTGATCATCCTCATCCAAACTATCACTTTGGATAGCCATGGATGTTAATAAATCTACATCACGCTCATGTAATGCCCTATACAAAAGTACCTGCAGTTTTTTGGTCTACAAATTCTTCAAGGCATCAGAATATATTGAGTATTGCAGGTTTCTGCAATTCTCTTTTGCTGGAGGAATCGAAAACTAATCGAAGGAGTATAAAAAAACTTCTATTCTAAGATATGCACAGACCTACGTAGTACACTAAAACACCTTTTTTAGGGGTTCCGTACGGGTAGACCTAGCAAGTTGAAATTTATACCAGATGCTGAGGTCTATGGTCCCTTTTAGGTGTATAAAAATCAAGGTCCTGAGTCAACACGATAAAAAGATATGGGCAAATTTATCTTAATATTCACCTTTTTTATTTTTTAGAATTTTCTCTTTACTTGTGTTGTGTGTGCTTCTAACTAAAATGGACAATTCTAGGTCAACCGGAAGTACCCTATAGGTTTTTGGTCGAAAACCTATATGGTAGTTCCCGTTGACCTAGAAATTTGGCAAAAAGAAACGTCTTACAGCACAAATAAAGGAATAATTCCAAAAAATAAAAATAAAAAATTTTGGTACTTACAAATTTTCGCGAAAATCTACGTATAATCTGGGTAGGTACGGAACCCTCGGCGCACGAATTCGACTCGTACCTGACCGGTTTTTTTAAAATGCCAAGAATGATACATTAGTTTTTTTTTTTTTGCATTTTCAGCTCACAATCCCTCAAGTAATGGCTACCCTGTTCTGGTGCAAGATTTTCAAAGTACCCGACTTACCTAGAAAACATCATATCGTAGGATACGAACCTTTGATAGACAGTAGACCCCTAAGGAACAATGTACCAGTTCACGTACCAAACAGCCAGTCTCCAGTACATCATATGGTGTTGTACGAATGCGCTGAAGATGACGATAAACATCTGTGGAATAGTTGGACGGAAAGTGATGGGTACTTTGGACCGAATAGACCTAGCGCTTGGGCGACGTGCGCTACGCCAATCGCTGCGTGGGCTATTGGCTCTCAAGGTGAGAAAACTTTGCTATGCTAGGTACTTACACACAAATATTTACTTTAGTACTTTTATTTAGTGGGGTGTCAGTAACATTATTATCATACGCAGTATGTTTATTGCATTCCTCAATGTTTGCTTGGGTGGTAACTTATTAATATGAGATCAGATCATCATGGACCCTGTCGGGCGCAGCAATAGATGAGAGACTATAGATATATTATCATCTCAGCCGATAGACGTTAACTGCTGGACTTAGGGCTCCCCTAGGTTCGTCACAACAATCGGTTCCGGGCTGTCCGCATCCAACGGCTTCCCGAGACCTACCTATGTCAATATCATCTGATACTAAATAAAAGCGAATGTCGTGAGCGTTATTCGAAATTGGATCGCCACGGGATCTCTAGAATAATCTAATATCCAAACAATACGACATAGGACACATAAACAATTTATTTATTTTCATATGATTCCAAAAAGATCTCTTGTAACCTTACGGTTGACGCTTTAAACATTTTAAAGAAAGTTCATATAGGTTGAGTACATATTTCTTCATACTACCACACTTACGAGTATTTATATCCATAACCCCCCCGCACAGCAGTTAACCGTGAAACCTTTAGAGGGGTGACGCCCGCGCGTTCCAGTAGGACATGAGGAATATAGAAACATTAAATGAACAAATCATGTCATGAATTTCTTTATAAACGTATTTGTATCGGTGTCTAGCTTAAGCTATTGAAGTTGGCCATCCCCCTTCTCCAAACTCTGAGAATATAGTCGTAATAGGCAATAGACGGCCGATATAGTAACAATGGCTCAAAAATGGTGATATCAACAATATTGCCATATCTGGAAAGTTTGTATCAGTGACATTTGTATCAGGATAAGGATATTTGTATCAGTGACAAGTCATCATTATAGTAGAATACGAAAAGTGCAAAACTATTCCAACGACAGTCCATCGACAGTCTATTGACACAATATTAATATAGCAGAATTGGCGCCCTGGTGAACCGTCTCTGCTCACAATGAGCGAACAAAAACATTTTAAAATGTATAAAGAAACGTACGAATTGAGTAGAGAAATATCTTCTTTTATAAATTCCGCTAATTATCTCATAGATGTTACGATAAATATTTCAACGCTCCATACATTTCTTGAATAATAAATAAAGTTTAACAATTCATACTTCAAACATTTGTTTTCATAATTCCCGTTACAAAGTAAATAAACTTGTGATTGTCTTAGGAGTTAATTAATTGTTTAAATAATTTCAGGCGAATTCCTTCCCGAGAACGTTGGCATACCTCTGGGCGAGAGAGGTGGAGTATCTTACTACATGCTTGAAGTTCATTATGATAATCAGGCTCTGCATAATGGTGAGACATATTTGATGTTAGCTATAACTCGCAAGTCTTCTCTTTACAGCTTTTTCGCCACATCTCAGTGCCCTTTCGTGCTAAATGTCATTACTTAATTTACAATTTGTTTTACGTTACGAACAAAAAATTAGGTTCTTTGTGACTATATTTAGTTAACTTATCCTTTGATGTTAAAGTTTACAAACATTTTACATTTTGTGAAAGCTAATGCACTAGAAATAATAAACAGCCATTTTTGTGAAACAAAAACAGGTAAAATAAGTTTTTAAAAGTAAATGTTTTTAAGTCTTTTAGATGGGTAAAAAGGAACAACCACTTCCTTCCTTATATTATAAATTTGAAAGTGAGTTAGTTTGTTACGCTTTAACGCCTAAACCACTAAACCAATTTTAAAATTCTTTCACCTATATATAGAAAGCTCCATTATCAGTGAGTAACATAGCTACACTTTACCGCGATAACCGACATACACGCGGGCGTAGCCGCAGGCAAAAGCGAGCATATTATGTATAACCGTGATAATTTCTATGTTTGAGATATCAAAGACGAATATATGAGAGAATATATGTAACCATCGTCAAAAAGTTACCCAGCGTTACTTTAATTATGAGCTAAAGTTTTAATTACACGATGTGAGTACACCATTAGGAAGAAACTCCTGTTGCCTGAACTCTCAATTCAAATGACGCATATCCATACTCCAAATAAATAATACTTTATTTTCTTCCTTATACGATTTTATTTTGTTTGACAGTACTAGACAACTCAGGTATCCGGATTCATTATACATCGGCGCTTCGCCAACACGACGCGGCGTTGCTGGGTGCAGGTATAGGCGTTTCAGCGTTACATGTCATCCCGCCTAAACAAAAGCAGTACAGGACCGTCGGGATCTGTAGCCCGGAGTGTACCAACGAGGTCAGTTAATTTAATTTAAAATTATTTTTGGACCAACTAAGATTTTATAGACGAGAATAGAGCATATTATTTTGAAAATATACCTAATTTTACAAGCTAATCCGCTCTTTATATTTTTTGTATATTTTTTATAGATGGCACAGGCTTATAATAGATTTTCTATAAGTATAGATTTATTTTGCTAGATACTTGACAAAACAGTTTATTGCTTTTGTGTGTGTTGATCTATGATTTTGAAGTCATTACGTTGGATTTTTTTAATAAAATATTTTTGATTGAAATAAAAATATTCTATTCCATGAAATTCAAAAAATTCTTTTAAATAGCTTATAACTATTTTGCTTGTTGAAGATTTTTAAGGTAAAATTATTTTGTTAACAGACTTTACCCGAAGAAGGAGTAAATATTGTATCAGTCCTTCTTCATGCACATGGTACTGCAAGAAAGATTTCATTGAAGCATGTCAGGGGCGAACAGGAACTGCCAAGAATATCTGAGGTAAAATGTTATATATTCTGTCGAATTTCTCCATCTATGTAAATACTACTTTAGGTTTTACTTTCTAAGCGACATCATGTGTTTGAAAGCAAAACTAACTCGGTATTCACTTGTTACGAGAGAGCATTTCAAAATTGTTAAACAGATGGCAGCACTGATCAATATTATGTGAATATTGCAGTAACTTCAATAGATGGCTCTGCAACTAATTTCTCGAATATTTTCAGGAGAATTTTTACGATTCACATTATCAACAATCCCGTATCGTACCCCGTGGTAGAAAGTTTATGAGAGGAGATACGCTGATCACAGAATGTACTTATGACAGTACTTCAAGGGATAAACCTATATTGGGCGGCTATTCTGCAAAACAGGTACGTTGAAAATAGCGTCCTGAAATTTATACTCACTGGGCGGTGATATTCTTAATATAAATCTAATTAATAACAAGATTATATCACACTATATAATCTAACAATACTATTATCCTTACATGTTATAAAATGAAGTCCGCCAGCCGCGTCTGGCTGTCTGTATGAATGCGTTAAACTCAGAAACTACAGAACAGATTCTTGTACGGTGTTCACCAATAAATATTATGTTTCCTGAGAAAGGTTAAAGTGTGTAATTTATTATGATTTTATGTAAATTGATTGAAAAATAACGATTATTTTTGAAGACGTCGCAAAAAAATCTTGCCTACTGGGAGCTTTACTTGAGTACGCCGCGTAAACCAGCAGAGATACATTAAAGTAATGTACTAGAGTAACTACAGAATTGTAGATCTACAATAACGCTACAATAACAACACGAATATTACATTACACATAACAATACGAACAAATATTATTTTCGAAGCTATTTTCTTCTGTTCATTAGTAATGCTACTCTAAATAAATAACTTAGTTAGCTTCGGCATTTAATGAAGTTTAAAATTGTCCTCTACCTTACACTATATGAATCAAATAAACACTTTTAAGATATGATAGATTCAAAATTGAAGGCCAAAATTTAAACGTCGCTGGAATTGACCTAACCAATCAATGCTTTTCACACGGCCAGTTGTAATATGTTGCCCTTTCAAGGGTGATATCTAAAAGCAATATGTTTGTTTTGACAAATAATCCGACAGAAGTAATAAATTTTGACAAAACAACGTTTGCCAGGTCCAGATAGCAATATTCTAAAAGTATGTATTACTGTTTCAGGAAATGTGCCTGTCCTTCATCTTGTATTATCCACGGACTGAGCTCGCCGGTTGCTACTCCATGACACCTGTAAAAGAGTTTTTCGAAACGTTCGGAGTCAAAGAGTTCTATGGCCTAAACTTTACGCAAGTGGAAAACATATTTTTGTCTTCGGGGTATGTAATATCACACTATTACAAATAGTTTAGAAAGGAATCAGAAAATGTAAAAAGTTCAGAATAAGTGAGCTGTAAATAAACTATACCATATAATAAACCAGCTTTTAACTATGACTGCACATTATATATTCCTAATTTTGGAGTTAAAAAGTTTAAAAGAAAGAAAAAGAAATAAAACTTACTCGCAGACCATAATCTATCTCTGATTACTTCATCCAGATTTGTTCTTCGAACAAATTATAAAACAGTATTTACGAACATCGCTAAATCCCTTCACACAAGCTTTCACGTTAAAATTATTAATAGCATTTTTGCAACATTACAGAAGTTTCGAGAACATTCCTCTACAGCCGTGGTTAGAGCATGTCGGCGACCACTTCGTCAATGAAACAGCGGAGCAAGGGAAGGAAGGCGACGACCAGGGCGTGGGCCTTATGAGTAAGTTTATCTGGCTTTTACGATGACAGTGACCATTAAGCTTATAATTTAACGTCTTTGGAGTTGCTGATTTAAGTATAAAATTATTACTGTATTGAAATTAATTTACCGTGTAATAGTTTATAAATGTAAAATAGCACAGTATTAAGTGTGTAGAAAAATAAAATAAACAATAGGTCTATATTTTACGAAAACTTGTTAAAAACGTACTAGATTGAAATAAGACTGAGATTGGTATCCCTGCGAATTATGAAATCCTGAGTATCCATAGAAATCATGGTTGTATGGAAATATTTCTTTTTGTCGTGATCACCTTTTGATGCGACGCTTTAATATTTCAAGAAAGAATTTTTTTTCTTGCCCTTTTCTCATACTTAGTACTTCTAAGTTCTTTGTTATCTTAAAAAAAAACTATCGATGTTGTTAACTAAAGTAATGTCTGTGACAAAGTCAATTAGAACAATTTCATTTTGTACAAAAAGTCAATGAGTCTAATGGATGCATGGCCTTCTTGCGTTTACGGTGACGCTCCTCGCCGGACGAGGAGAGATAGTAGAATACCCTTTACATACATAGCTTCTTCTTCTGAAAGATAGTTCCACACCACATTTAAGCTAAGCAAAAAAAAAACTGTTTAGTTTATTATATTGGTGAAGTATAGATTAACAATTCAAACAAAAACTTTTTCTTTTCAGAGGAGCTAGTGATCTGGGAGCCTTCAGAGTTCAGGAATAAGTCATTCATGGCTCACTTGAATGAGATGCCGTGGGCTGAAACATTGCTAACAGAACAAATTGAGAAGAGACTGTATAAAGGCATGCACATGACGTTTTGCAAGAAGAAGGACGATACGTGGGGAGTGGTACGTATCTCTTGATTAACATTGTCTGCCCTTGATTTGGATCCAAGTATTGTGTTGTTCATATATCAGAGCCCTAGAGAAAACATCAATTTATAAAAGTGATAAGATTAAGAGACGTTATTTAGATTTAATTTAACATCAATGTTTGTATGTTGAAAAAAAGTTATGATTTTGATAAATATTAAAATAGTTCTAGTACATTCCTCTTATTGTTATTTATTTATATAAGCTTGTGTACATCTTACGACTTAATGTCCAGAGCATTCTCAACCAGCCAACCTTTAGACCGTTGTCCATTCAATTAAAACCTAAATATATTTCCATTTTAATTAATTTGTGTTTATTTTGGACTTCTGTTGAAGAAAATCGTTTTGTCTGCGTTATGTTGTTACTTTGGTACTGAAAAATCTTATGCAGTTCTAAAGTTTTGTAAATTTTTTCATCTATATACTTAACTAATGCATGATGTATTGAAGATTACTTAAACACTCTTGAAAAGAAAGCATATTTTAAAATGTTTTGATGTTACAACATTAGGATTTAAAAAAATGATTATAAGTTTTTTTGGATGTAGAGTGACAGTATTAATTGTTGCAGCCAATTGAAATACAAAATTATCCGGTTTACAAGGAGATTACGAACAACGAAACTGCCGAGAAGTCCTGCCACCACAAGAGCATGCGGTTACCGTCGGTAACAAAGGGTTCGGCAACAGCCGTCACGTTTAGTTGGACAACCGTACTCGCTTTATGTTCCACTTTAGTTATTGCCCGGTAATGAACAATAGCTTTTAAGATTGGTACAGATGTGCGAGGTGGATAAGCTTTGACTGTAATATATGTGATGTTCAATTAAGTACTGCTAGGCCTCCAGTACTTATGTCTCAAGTTTTTAAATACTTTTCTCTTTTCAAACTATATTTTGGAAAATATAAGGCTGGTCCTTATTTGTCAGATAACAATCTGATATGTTTTTTATTTTGTTATGCATTGTATAGATTTTGATTATTTAGTTCTTGCCAATTGGTTTTCACGTATTTCAATGATTGGCAATAATTTAAGTGCCTTAGTAAAGGTGCCTAAGCGTGGCCAATTTTACATGTTTTTACAAGGCATGTAATAAATAAGACTTAATATTCTCGACTGGCATATCTGCACCAATCTTTGCACCAGGACCAATGATTACGTTGTTTTTTTTTATCATGGGTGTATTATTGAAGTTATCGACAGACGACCGACAAATTGAATAGTTATTACTCAGACAAATTATGTATCATAATTTGCGAATATATGTACAGTTATTTTTGTAACTTTTTAGTGTTAAACCAAAGCTGTTTAACGGTTTTTGTAACACTTATTGAGTGGATGTTTTTGTGATTAATGTACTTATGAGTTTTGCTCATGTGTAGAGCGAGTGTGTAGTTACAATGGTATAATTTTTTACATTTCTTCTACGTCATACATCTTGTACGGTTATTAATTTTCCAAAAAAAATATTATCTTAGGGTTTTATGTAGTGATTTCAATATTACCTAATTGTTGAAATATTTTCCTTATGATTAGTCATAAGGAAAATATTTCAACAATTGTGGTTATTAGGTTTTGCTGTCGACGACACCTGCTTTAAACAATATTGGAATCTACTAACTTTTAGACTTTTGCGTTCCTTGATTTATAAGTACGGGAATTGGAAATGCCTGACGTTTCGACTAGGTTGCCTTGCTTTGACTAGCCGTGGTAATAGGTTGCCTTTCCGTACTTATGCATAATTCAATATGGAAATCTTACAACATATATGATATAGATTATTTACAAAATAGTGATCTATTTTTGACTTAATTAAAAAAAATACTGGATGGATACTGGCAAGTTATCGCTAAAGGATACTGTTTAGTTAGTAAAAAAATTTGATTGATCCCAATGACTATATATATGGCCATGTTATGTTATCAGCGGGTGTTGAATCGTGACACATTATTGTAACTTCTAACAACATGCGAAACATGTTGCTTTTTAACTATTTATGAATTTCAATCTTATGAGTACCTAAATTTAAAAAAGAACTATCATTCCTACAAAGAGTTTTGACATACGATAAAATACTGTAACAGACAAGTCTCATATTAAATATCGAAATTATGTGTGTGTAGATCAAATGTTTAATATGTACTGGACTTGAAATTTAAGTTAGAGGATCAACATGCAATGCAATATGTAATTTGAAGTCTGAAAGTATAGAGTGTAAATGGTTATACGGTGGAGGAAACATCTCACCACTTGTAAGGTTCCAATGCAGTTAAGTAGTACTATTTTTTTTCTCTAATTATGTTCTTAATTTATTGTAGAAAACTAGTGAACTATGGAATCTCGACGATTTTTTATCGATAACATTTTTTGAGCGAATAATTAAATTTGCCTATATAATTTTTCCATAAAAACAAAATATAGATTTAATAAAAATAAACGAAACCCGTTTGGTGCATTAAAATACCCAACTTTTCATTTTGTATCAAGTTTTTGAAATGATATCACCGCATTTTTCGATAAAGTTTTTTTTTTCGAATAAATTTGCATTTTAATAAAATAGTTAACGTCACTAATCATAGACACGAATATTAAATGATTTTCTTTTGAAGTTTGTATACTACTAAGAAAAATTATAATTTCTTTTGTTGACTGATACTTTATATAAATATTTATGTGACACAATGAAAGTAAAATAATATTAGTGGTACAATTTTTGTAAGCTTCTTTCGCATAAATATTAGTTCACATAATATATAGGCTGTGCTTACCTAGCTACTTAGTACTTTGTTGTCTAAATATGAATAAATCAGATCGAATATACTTACCAATTCTATAAATTTGCTCTCTTTTAACAGCTGCTCAATGAGCTCTTATAGAAAAAGTGCTCGTTTAAGCCAGTTACTTCCATACTACGGCTCAAACGAATAATATTTTGATACAGTTTTTAGATTTTTTGTAAAGCCTATAAGTACACAAATAAATAACTCGAAACGAGATACCTTTCTGGTCATCTTATGCCGTTAATATTTGAGTCTAACAAATATTAAAATGACAAATGGAAAAATTTACTTCATACTTGTTAATTAGGTTTTTTTAAAACAATAAAAAAATTGAGATAAAAAAATCATCACATTTGATTGTATTTGATTATTTTTAATTAAATTCACTCTTAATGAAGTTTTAGTTCTAAGATTACGCTTAGTAATTAAGTTTTATTTATTTAAAAGTCAATAAAATGTTTATTAAATTAAATAAGTACATGGTTTTATTAACTTAATTTAAGTTATGGTATTCTTGTTTATGGTGATCCGGTCCAGGTTCTTGTGGAACACGAATGACTGAATGTGTGGTATAATTATAAGTATATTTATACGAGTTGCTGAACGTATTATTCCAGTGATAACTATAATTGTTAGCGTCTCCAACTTTATTATTGCTTGATGTTGACTGACTAACTGCCTGAGCTGAAAATCTAGAATTTATATCAGGATTTGAGTTGGAAACAGCGACATTACTAGCAAATCCCGAGCTCGTGCTTGAAAATCCTTTATTCGGTTTTGTGAAACTTTGACTTGGGGTGACTAGTCCCTGATTTTGATTGGAAAATCCTTGGTTTATTGTTGTTAATCCGTGATTAGGGATTTTAAATATCTGCTGATGGTTTGAAGGTCTAGAACTGGTACTTGCGAAGACCTGATTTGAATTACTATTAACATTGTCATTGTTTTGTGTTCCAGAATTATTTTCAGTATGTGTGTATACTAAAGCAGGGTCGGTTAGAACAAAACCGTTGATAGAGTTAGTAAATCCTGAATTAGGGTTTGATAATCCGTTATTAGAATTCACAAATCTATTAGTATTCTGCGCACTCGTCTGAGGGTTAGGAAAACCACTGTTTGAAAATCCTTGGTTGCTTGAAAATCCTTGATTAGTATTTGCTATTCCTTGGTTATTGCTTGAAAATCCCTGGTTATTTGGAACACCTTGGTTACTATTTGCAAATCCTTGGTTATTAACAGAAAATCCCTGGGCTGGAAAACCTTGGTTGGTATTTACAAAGCCTTGATTATTATTTATAAGGCTTGGATTACTTGCGAATTCTTGGTTACTAGAGAGAATGCCGTTTTGTGGCACAGCGTCGACGAATCCATTTGGTCTTTGTGGGTATGATTGAGGGTTCTTCCTATGTTCTTCCAGAGCTTGCCAGTTAATAAACCAGAAGGGCTGCTTATCTATTGGTAGTTTACTTAACCGGTCAATGAGGTCCCTGTCTCCGTTTGCCTCGATAGGCAATCTCTGTGTTGTACCTTCACCGAAACTGCAAAAGAAGGGGTTATTAATATAGTTTTTATTGGTTCGTTATATGTATATGGTACGGTTACCGCGAATGTCGAAACTCAGAATCATACTCATAATCATATACTCAACTCAGATCATAGTTATTTTATCTGTTTTATATACGAGTATGGCAGCTTGAGTTACCAGTGTGACATCTATCTATGCTGTTTCACAGCAATAAATTTAGTGATGACTAAGCATGATCGTCCTTGCTGTTGTAAGGTAGGAAGTAGTAAAAACAGCAGTACTGCTGTTCTAAGTATAAGTTACATTAATATTTACGTAAAGTATTATTATTATTCACAAAATCCAGAGTGCTAAAAATCGAATCTAATCACACTAATATTATAAAGGCGAAAATTGAAAGTTTGTGAATGTGTATGTTGGTATGTTTGTATGTACTTCTTCACGATCAAACGGCTGGACCAATTTTAAATTTTAATTTGGGTATGATGGTAGATGACACCTTTATTTTTTTTTTTTCCCGTGCGGAAATCCCCTCGGATACCACCTATCGGTGGCATGTCGATCTCGAACCGACTAAAACCGCACGCCGTCTCGGGTACTAATAGCCGGGGAACCAGGTATACCCTAGAAAGGAAGTCCCTGGTGCCCCGACGTACCTCGGGCCATCTACAACAACAGGTAGACGACCCCATCCGTGTGGGAACCCCATGTTCCCTCTGCTCCCTGGAAGCGAGCGCGCTTCGCAACGCGCTCGCCGTCACCCCGGCCTGCTTCTGCTAGGGTGACAGATGGTGACACCTTGGATTAATACACAGGTTATTTTTATCTTGAAAAATGTAGCGTTCCCGTTGGATCAGCATGACAATCCGCCGGTAAATATATTTGCAAGCCCTTTTGTTAGAACTCTCCTAATCTCAATAGGAGTACATAAGCTCTGTCATTGTATTTGTATTGATGTAATAATCAGGGGTCATCCATTTTCAAAACAGTAGTTAACCTAAGCATTCTGTATGGAAGTTATGCCAATAGTTTACAGTTTGTACGTTATGCCACGAGAGCTTACCCACCGGTAAGCTCTCGTGGTTAAATTGAGGAGTTATGGTGTATCAGCCTGATTTATACTATACCCGCTTAAGATTCAATCTAGGCCACTGGCGTCTGAGGTATGTACTAGATATTGGTGATTATTAAAGACAGGTTTGTTATCAGAAGGAAAAGGCTTGACCGATTTTCGTGAAGTTTTGTGTGCATATCGGGTAGGTCTGAGAATCAGCCAACATCTATTTTTCATACCCCTATTTTTTCCTTTTTTTGACAATATTTTTTGAAATAATATATATGGCAAAACAACGTTTGCCGGGTCAGCTAGTTATTTTATAAGTATTTGTTGAGATGAAGTAGCTCAGAATACCAATAATTTGTAGAGTATGTAAAATTTGTAAATTTTTATTCTTTTGGAATCCATTTTAATGTTCATACTACTTTCTCATTTTAGTACCCGAACTGGAGTACGTTTATGTACCCAAGCTTTTATCTAGTTCCATAAAAGAAGTTATTTCAATTACAAAACTAAATTCAATTCAATTTGGATATGTTGAAATGTCTTGAATTTTATAAAAACAAACTAAATTTTGCCAAATATAAACTAAACCTATATATGCAATATTATTCGCAAAATCAGAAAATATGAAATTTGTTAATAACTTACCGATCTCCGAGTTCACCAGGTACAGGTGTAGTTGTCCTGTTTACTAATTCGGGAAAACCGATAGGCCGCGAGCCAGCAAAGGGAGGTCGTTGCCCGTTCACCAATGTTGACGTCACCACCAACAGGGTTGACAAGGTTCTCTGTACATATGAAGACTTATATTATCTAATTTTATATTTACCTGGATGTATTTTTTGCGTAATTACTTTATTAGAATGCTAGATTTGATTTCCTTAAAGAATTCTGAGTGCTGATTTCCCTGAAGCTTGCTTAATCACCTTAGTAATGTGATAAAAATGGATTAGTAATTGTGGGTTTTTCAAGCATTTGCCGGTACGAACATTGTAAATTAGTAATACTACTAATAATATAAGAAGAGAAAAAAATCGGTAAACGTATAACTTGTAAAAATGGCTTAAATAGTGAGCTTTTCATTATTATTTTCATTGATAATAAAAGGGCTATCTTGCATATTATTTAAAAAAGGATTTTACTGCCCATTACGTAAATTAGAACAAGCGATGGTCAGGGAAACTATTGTGCCTTATGTTAGAAGAATACAGAAATATATGTACCTCAAAATTAGGTCTTTAAACACTAATGTCTGAAGCTCTCCAATGTTAATATATTTTTTAACAAAGGTCTTGCACGATTTTAAACAATTTTTGTTATGGAGATTAAGCAGGCGGCGGATTTAACGGCCTTCACACACCTTGAGACCGAAAAGATACTAAAATGTGTGCTTTAAACATTGCCACTTAAAGTTCAGTTTGCATATGTTATACGACTGTGGGATGTGGGAAGCTAGTGTTACACACAGCCTATGCTATTGTTAAATGGGTTGTCTTACATGTCAGAAATCTTGCATTTCGAATTTTTTGAGACGAGTTTTTTTTTAAATAGATTCAGTGCTTGTATACTTGTTGTACTTACCTTAACTTAAAGCCCTAAGAAAATATTTCAACGCTATAAAATTAATGTACAAAATGGAATTAAAGTGACTACCTCCGCCCATGAACGCCTGCAACTCAGAAGTCACAAACGCGTATTGCACTTTAAAGTTATAACTTGATTACCAAAATAAAGAAATAGCTACCTAACTAAACTGATTTTAAGGAACACAAAATTAAGAATATAGTTAATTACTATTTTTTTCGAATACTAAGTATAAATAATATGTCAACACTTCTTAAAAATGAAACTTCCTCGGTTGTCAATGTTATAATATGACTAAGAGTATTTTTATTTTGTACTTGCATATTTAACATACAAAAAATACATTAAAATAACCGTGGATAAATAATTTAGTTATTAACTTATGCGAAATATAATTAAATTGTACTCACCAACATTTTACACCGTGATAAAAACAACAATTTAAAAATACGACCTCACAGTGTAAAGCTGCAAAACGTACTGGTTTTGATGCCATTTGCAAACAAAAAAAATCAAAGAGGAAAACTTTGTTGCTTGAGATCTTGAGTGTCCACGTCACTTTTGACTTAACACACCGGTTTAATGTTGTTATTTAAACTAAATATTTTAATTATACCTACGTTTAAGAGAATTTTTATTTGATACCGTACTATAAATCCACTTTTGTTCAAGTTCAAGATATACAACTTCGCGCGCTTTTTAATCTGTCTTATTTCTTGAGCTCCTCTATCGTGGTTTTACACTCAGTTATCTTTGTAAAAAATGGATCGTATAACCGGATTAAAAAAGGAATATTACGAGTACTGTTTTAAACATTTAAATAAGGTAACGTTGCATAGACGCTGTTTAGAAAATATCAACATTTTGTTTTAAATATTATTTACACATTCTAGAGATCGGCTGGCGGCCGAATTTCGACTGTTTTCAATCTCTTGTTTTATTTCATTTAATAGCTTAAACTGAACTATCATTCTATAAATGTATAAAGGTCAAAATATGTATTGCACCCCTATAGTTCCCTACAACCGTTTAAAATTCATGTAGAATTTTAACATTGTTCCTGTGCAGGAACGGGTGTCATGTCCCTCAAACACAAAGGCAGAATCCTCCGTCCAGGCGTTGTGAAGTTGTTTATATGCTAATCGGCGAGAGAATAGTTAATATCGCGGTACAAGATTAGCAGTTACTCCGTAGTTCGGTGTGTCTTCGTTAGATGGTGCTGTAGTATGTTTCTTCATTTTCACCGTGTGTGGAAGTCGCCACAGTTCGAAATATTGTTCAAATAATTTAAGCTTTCTGCACTTTTCCTCAACGTCATCATCATCACCAACAGCTGTTAATAGTCCTAATTGGCCTACTATACCACGCTGCTGGCCAGACGGTTTGGTATAGGCTTTGTGTAAAGTTTTTCTTCTCTTTGCAGTGCTGTTGTCCTGCGTAGTTTGCTCGCTTAGTGAGCAACCACGGGATGAATAGGGGTGGTGACACTCCGTATTCTTAATTCGTCACCACACGGAAGATGCTTCTACTTCGGGCATTACTCTGTAAATATAACAGTTAAGATACTTAAAATACAAGAGCTTTCCAATCAAGTTCTGTTTCTCTTGAATTTTAATTTTAAAATAGAGGTTTTTTTAAATTGCCTACTTACAACTTTCATTGCCATGGCTTAATTAGGAGTTCTAAATTATAAGATGTCTTAGTGTTTTTTTTTCGAATTTTGTTCAAATCAACTGTCTTGATTTTTTTGTGGGATCAAATGGAAATATACGACTGTATGCATGATACACGCCGCGCACGAAAAGGTTTCGCAGGTTACGTGCGAAACGACTACTAAATCGAAGAAGTGTTCATTAAGCACATGCACAGCTAATAGTGGGTTATTGTCTTGAAATTTCATTAGGAAAATGTCTTTACCAGAATTCAAAGTGAACGCAATAGTGGAAGCAAATTAGTTATGATCAACTGTTAACAAAATAAAATAAAGTAAAAAATATTTTGGTAGGTACTAGGATCATTAACAAGCTTTAGTTTTTAGGAAGTTTGTTAATAAGTATTCTTGATAATCTAGCCTGTAATTTATACATTTTATTAATAAGTTTTAATTACTATTTTTTTATTTTACTTATGACATCATCATCATCATCATCAACAGCCCATACTAGTCCACTGCTGGACATAGGCCTCTCCTTAGAAAGGAGGTTTTGGCCTACTATACCACGCTGGCCAGACGGGTTGGTATAAGGTTTGTTTCAAGTTTTCCTTCTCTTTGCAGTGCTGTTGTCCTGCTTAGTTTGCTCCCTTAGTCGGCTCTTACGACACCCACGGGATGAATTGGGGTGGTGACAATTTGTATTCTTAATCCGTCACCACACGACACCACACCACACTTATGACAACCTAGACATATTTATTGCATTAATATGTTAGCATTTTTAATGTTACATCCGAAAACCTGCTTGGGTACCAAGAATATAGCAAATTTTTTCGTTCATCTATCGGATGTCGCATTACAGCCAAGCTAATAAGGCGGCGCTTGCATCAGCTGACCGGCATAATAATTATGCTGGTTAATTTAATTATGAATTATGAAGTTCAAAATGATTCAATGATTTAAATAAAAATTGTGCTCACAGTTTAACATGCGTCGTCTATCATCAGAATGATTGTATTTATCATGTATTCCGTACTCTAATACGCAGATGGAAATTTCGAATAATTTTCCGAAAATATTCAGTTAAATGCCTACGATCCGAAAAAAGTTTTCTCTTGCATCGTGGTTCCATAAAACCACACCACACTGTTTTTATGGCATAGAAGAGAAACCAGCAGACGGTTTACCTGCAACTCAAGAGTCACAAGTGCGTTGCCGCCATTTGGGCTTTTGAAGCATGGCTCACACGCTCTCACGCTTAGTCTGTGTTTGTATTTGAACGATTTTTACATTTACTGAGCAGAATATAATCAATTTCTAGTTTTACTTTTGAAATGTTTTACGTATGAAGTTGAAGATTTGTATGAAAATTTTAAAATATAAATTATTTGGTTATTTTTTCATTTTAGCTAATCAAAGTACTGGCAAAATTATCTATACAATTTTGCGATTTTCATGGCAGTTTGTTTATCCCTTTACTGTAAAAGTGTGCTGGACGAGAGATGATGAACTCAGCAAAAACGTTTTGTACTGCCTCTCGGGTGTTGAATTTTTTCCCACCTAAAACCATTGTCTAAATTTTGTAAAAAGTAGAAATCTTTTGGGGCATGGTCGGTGAGTACGGTGGGTGACGGAGAGCTTCCAGCTGAAACTCCTGAAGCTTTGCGATGGTTTGCGTGAAGTATGAGCTCGCACGTTGTCGTGGAGAAGCAATGGGGAAGAACGATTGACCAGTTGTGGTTGTTCAATTACGAGCTTCTTCATCATGGTTTAAAATTCTTGGCAATAGACATCTGCCTTCACTGTTATGCAATTCGGTAAGGAGCTGTGATGTACAAGTCCGGCACTGGTCCACAAGACAGTCACCATTATCTTCCCATGGGTAATGTTTTTTTTAGGGCACTGATTAGATACTGTATTGTATACTGTATAGTGATTTTCTTCGCAGGTAACAATTCGTTCTATGTAGTGCTATGCATGCTTCGACGAGTGAGCCTTGCTGATGATCGCTTAGTTCGTGTGGCGCCTATTTATTTAGCTTTTATCTCTCTTTCAGATTTGATGCAAGTGCTTCAATGTTGTTGTGACACTAACTCCAAAGCCCGCAGCAAGTTCAGCCGTAGTTTGGGGTTGGATCCGACTTCCACTATCGTCTTCAATTCGTCGTTCTTCAACTTAAAGTTTCCAGATCTAAAATGGACCGTGTTTATGCAAGCAGTGTCAGGCCTGTATACGACGTTAATGTTTCGTGTTGTTTGAGCGGACGGGGTATTTCTACGTAGGAACTCATATTCGAAAATTTACAATGCCAAAACCTACCATAATTCACAAGAACAAAACAAAGTTTAAGGTTTAAAGATATTTTATTCTCATATAAGATTTACATTACTTCCATGAGAACATGGCCATTCAAAATATTAAGAGTGTTCATCGTCAAAAGGATAAAAACATAACAAATTCACAAAGACAACAACATAACAAATAGTTAACGGTAATACATACGTTATCAAGTACAGGTGCCCACCCAACACGTCCACAATCAGAACAATAGTTACGTTTATTACAGTTAATGCTAACCATGCTAACACATTATATAATATTATAATAAATATTAGTTTTCAGACCTGCCGTCCTGTATGGCTCTGAAAGTTGGCCCATTAAGAGAACGGATGAGAGACGCCTGAATGTAGCCGAAATGCGAATGCTGAGATGGATGTGTGGTGTGACTCAGATGGACAAGGTTAGGAATGAGTATATACGAGGGAGTCTGAAAGTAGCGCCACTGGATGAAAAGTTAAGAAGTAATAGGTTATCTTGGTATGGACATGTCATGCGGAGGGATGAGGAAAATGTGGCGAAGAAAGTTTTAGGTATGAGAGTTGAAGGGTACAAGAGAAGAGGCAGACCGAAGAAGAGGTGGATGGACTGCGTCAGGGAGGATATGGCTAGGAAGGGAGTAAACAGTGAGATGACGCATGACAGAGTAGAATGGAAAAATCATACATACTGCGCCGACCCCAAATAAAATTGGGAAAAGGGTAGGCAGATGATGAAATATTAGTTTTCAATTATAAATTAAGCTAGATTCCTTTTAAAGGTGTTTAAAACAAATGACTGAATTTCAAATAAAAATAACATGGCTTTCGAATAAAAATTATTTGAATTTCGAATTGCTCGCCAATTCACAGATAATTAAATCTAAAATTGCTGGTTTTATAAATCTCCTACTTCATAGGTAAAGACCTCTCATATAGGTTTAAGCTTATGTCTACTTCTTGTAGTAAAGCTATTTTTAAAACAGATATATTATAAGGAAGTTTAAATACTTACACATTTTAACTTATAAACTGTAATTTGCTAATTGTGTACAGTCAATCATTCGGGTCCAAAAGTCAAAAATGTATGTTTTATGCGTAGAAATACTTATTCTACAGTTTTATATTACCTTATGGACTATATACTTATTTGGAGATATACTACTGGTGAGATTTTGTAATGAGGAAATTTTATAACCGACATAGGTCTATTATAAAATTTCCTTTGTTCATATTTACGCAACATATTATTATGAGACTTGTGACAAGTAATGAACTTATTTTTTTAGAACACGCTTGTTCCTAACATACTTTTTATTATCATTTACATTAATAAATGAACAGTTTAAAATTGTACGTGAATTGAATGAAAAAATTTGAACAGTCTTTTAGAGTTTTACAGCGATCTGTATTTGATTACGTTGAGATTACGTTCGAATTGACTATGAAAACTTTTTTGTGCTTGCTCCACTTTGCTCTCTCATTTACCAAAGTAGTTAACTTTACAATACTAAACCTCAAAAACTACAAGTTTTAGTTGACATTTGTATCAGTGGCAGTTCAGTGATACACTGATAAGTCATCGGGGCCATTGGTCTTAGGTATATACCTAGTTAGTAGAATACGAAAAGTGCAAAACTAATGTTAATACAAAAAAAAAATACAAAACTATTCCGACGACATTCCTATTTGATACAACACTGAAATAGCAGAATTGAGGCAGATAGAGCATAATCTTTTCTAGCAGAATCTTTTTTAATTCATTAAAAAAAACAAAATGACTGACATTTTGTTTTTTTTTCTAAACCACAATAGTAATTTCTAATTGTGTAACTGATTTAAATTGTAGTCTTCATTTTAGAAGTGAATAACGTATTTTCCTTGCATGACTTTTGAAAATCTGTATTAAAAGTTAAGGAATTTTATCACTTGTACTGAGCTGATACGAAATGTGACTTCCGTGCCGTCCGAGCACGACCGCTTTATTTACCGAAAATAATGAAATTTAAACTGTAAAACTGTATCACACTTATCTAAGATACACGGCCGCCCCATATTCAATCTAAGAATCAAGCGTGTTAAGGCTTTAAGCGCTCTGTCCCCCACGTGTTAAGGGAAGGGGGGCGAGCCTCCCTACACATCACTCAGTCGATAAAATTCAATGAAAGAACTGCTTACCATCGGTCTTTTATGAGGCCATCTCACTACGGCTGAGCCACCCCATATATTCTATTTCTTTTTACCACATTCACACAACGTCATCTAGTCCTAAACTTGAACGCCCGAAAAGAATTTATACTATGGGTACTAGACAACTGATATAAATACATTTATTATATACTTTTTGTTGTAAATACATACATATTATACATAAAAACACCAAGACCAAATCAAACATTAAATTTTCATGCACACAAATGTTTGACTTGAGCGGGAATCGAACCCGCGACCTTTGGAATAGCAGTCCGTTACACAAATCATTACGCCATTCAGTCGTAGATATATGCCAAAGTACGGCTCTCTCTGTTCAATTTTACGTCATTACTGAAAAGACTCAATATTTAAAAAAACTATCTTTCAAGTTTTAAACTTATGGAGTGCAGAAATATTTGCCGAACGTTCTGTTTTACTCTTTTATCGCAACGGTTGACGTTTGAACGTTCGTAAGTTTTGTGAGTAATGGCTGCTAAGCACGAAAACGATTGCTTAGAAAATAGGTTAAGCTAGCATTCTCATTGTACAATGTATTTTTTCCAATAAAATTTTGAGGCCTCACCTATCATGTATAGTATAAGTTCCTTGATTTCAATTATTATGTGACTTCTGTCCTAAATATGTCTTGAATTTTACAGCTATTTAATGAGCTTCAGTGTGCATGATATACTGTGCAGTATATCATGCACACTGAAGTTTGGGACATGATGGCGTAGTGGTTTAAGCGATCACCTTGCCGCAGTCTTGTGGGATTCCCACATGGGATAACACTTTGTATGATCTACAAATTGCTTTTTGAGTCTAGGTGTTCTTTGTGTCTTTTTCACAAATATTGTAAAGTCCCCCGCGATACAGCATATATTCTTATTGCGGGAGTTGTCTGTTTTAAAAAAATCTCGCGGTCTTGTATACTCGAACACGTTTGAGAAAGCATAATTATAAACATCTTACAGGAATGCTTCCGTGCTGTCGTTTAGTCCCATGCAGCAACACGATGAACACGTCGCTTTTTCAGTCAGCAGGTGGGTTTGGGCTCCGATAACCTCACGTACTCGGTGAAAAGCATCAAATTATTCATCATACACACTGTTTTCTGTGAGGTTGTGGTATTAATCCAGTCGAGCCTGGCCCATATATGTCTTAGTTTTTAGTAGATTCGCTCCTCTCATTTTCAAGCAAACACATCATTTATATTACTGACTCAAGAATTTAGTATACCTACTAGAAATATGTACTACAAATAAGGTAGCAAAATAAAAAAAAGGTCAAATCAAAATGTTTACGTTTTGTTTTAAATTTCAAGTTTCGGATTAATATTATTTATATTCAAACGACAAATATTATTTATATTCTCATATGACACAATGTTTTATTATAATATGATACTTTGAAAAACCCCGGTGTAAAGATCATGTGATTACGTCCATAAAGGATATTGTTGATTAAAATCAAAATGTAAAAAATACACACATATAATAAGAAACGCTCAATATACCTGTGGTTTTTTCATGTACTTCCACTTTTTTTTTTTCATTTGATTTGCATTATTTAGACATTTTATGTAAATGCTTGATGTAAGTATGTTTCAACTTTGGACATTTGTGGAACTGATGATTTTATACTGTCTACATCCGTACATAAACGGTTGCACTGTCCATGTTATTATTATAAAAATATATATTTAAAACATTAGTTGTAAATAAAACCAAGTAGTTGCAGAATCGAATCCCAATCAGAAAACTAACGGTTCTCAATAGCACCAGTGTATAGGTTGTTATTACTCTTTATTTGAAAAATACATCAATATACATAAAGATGTATAATATATAATGATAAGAAAAATATAACGGGTTGTTTTGATATGATAACATATCAAGTCAGAGACACTAAATGCACGATGTAAGGGACATCGTAACGAATACTGAAATAGTGTATTCAGACCATCACTCTGAGTAGAAAATCATTGGAATTTTCTGCCGGAAAATTATACTTTTTATGCAATCAGCTGTCAAAGGTAAAGGCCATTCCCCGTAGGTATCGCACAAAAGTAATAAATATATATTACGAGACCCCGCGCGCTTCGACTGTTTGATTACATTTGATATTACATTGCAGTTTTTGACCTATGTGGTATTTATTACTTTGTTTTCGGTGAAATGTTCTGTTAACTCATTGTGATATCATTTCTGACCAAAATGAATGCAAAATTATAAAAAATAGAAAATTCCAATGATTTTCTACTCAGAATCATGGTCTGAATACACTGTTTCAGTATTCGTTACGATGTCCCTTACATCCTGTATAAATCACCAACCTATAAATGAAAGAAATAAATAAGGTAGATAAGAATGGTAAAAATAGGATAGGGAGTTACCACAAGAAAAGAATCTTGGGAAATATATAATAAGCAAATAAGTGTAACCGCATATCATCTACATTGCTAAGTTGTATTTCTTCAGACAAAAAATTGTAACTGAATATGATGATTTAATAGTTATTTGTGAGCTTCCATGCTTATGAACAATTCAAAAGTCAAAGTTGGACCTGTCTGTGGACTGTGGACCTTGATAACCTTTCAGCCTTTGTGACCTGTAACTTCATAAACGTTGACATTAGAACATGTAAAAACTCACAACAAAATAAAACAACATCAAAACATTTTTATGGTTTATTTGAAATACTATTTCTTTGGAAGGTAAATATTTCATTTAGGTACAGAAGAAATATTGATTTACTTAAAATACATTTTAAATAGACTATACAAAAATAACCTCGGATTTACAATTATTACTGTATTCGTTATGAAATAAAAACCAACAAAGAATTTAAAATTATTAGACCACTTATAATTTTACTTGTTTTGATAGAATTTGCGCCATTATCTTCGGTTGCCTCTTTGCAACACTTTGTACCAATTTCGACAACCTTAGGATAAAAGTTTGTCCAAAATTCAAAAGCTTTATAGTTAACAGTCGCTGGAGTACTCATTGTGAAGTTTTGTCTGTCAATTATCAAATACCCAGGTTTTTCGATTTCAAAAGGTTGCCAATCTATAATTACCCCTGAATTTGTAGGATTCGTATACCAAGCAAAGTTTGACCACATTCTCATTATGATTTCTGAAATACTCTTGTCTCTGATGTCCCATTTACTTAAATCCTCTGGTGCAGCTAAAAATGGCATACCGAACGTAAATATTAAATCATAATTATGAGGAACACCTATCCATTCTGGAAGGCCTTCGTTAACTATATCAGAAAAGGGCTTAAGATCAAATCTATACAGATAAACTGGGACATGCGCACTAATGTACTTAGCTAATTGATATGTAGTAGCACCGTGGACTTTATCTGTGTAAAAATCTACAAAGAGTTTTCTCAAAACAGTTTCATTGGTCGTTGGAGGGATTGGCTTATAGAAAAATTCAACGGCGTCTTGTATATGATGTTGATTAGTAAAACATGAACTGTTGTCTACTGTAATGTCTGCCAAAATGATTTCTTCCCTCATAGCGTCAAATTCTCTTTGACTTATACCACTGTCACCATTATCATCCTTTTCTAATAACAGTCCATCTTCCATACTAGTGTAACCAGCTAAAATTGGTACTGGGGAGAAAATGTCATCATTGAATAGTTTGCTTGGGAAATCTGGCAAAAATGGGCTCGTTATGTTACTGAAACCGCCATCAATTATTGGTTTCCAGTCGCCTAGAGGCCCTGCAATATCTAAAAGTGCTTGATCGGGTACTCTTCTGAGGCAATCTAGTAATTGGGTGGTAGGTTTTCGAAAACAGCTAAACGAAGCTGCAACTTTATCAACAATAACAACTTCTTTTCTTGCTGTATTAACAGTCTCGGGTGATAGTCCATTTCCGCTCATTGCTATAGCTTTTGCAAATAGTCCGGATGAATATGAAGATATTAAGTGTAGAGTAACACTGATCGCTCCAGCGTCATGGCCAAATATACAAACGTTATCTGGATCTCCACCAAAGCTTTCAATATTATTCTTGACCCAGTTTAAAGCAGCTACTTGATCTAAAAGGCCAAAGTTGCCTGGTGCTTCGGTATCTAATGTTGAGAAGAATCCAAATATATTGAGGCGATAGGCGACAGATACAAATATTACCTAAAAAGTGAAAAAAAAACTGCTAAAGTATAAATAATAAAATAATATTTCACTTGAGTTTTAAAATTCGAATTCGTGACTATTTTTGAGATATTTCAACAATATTATTAGTTACCCGTTGTTTGAGTACCAGCTGAAATGGATTGAGACTGTTGGCACTTCCTCGTAAGAAGTCCCCACCATGGAAGAACACCAGAACCGGATAACCTTCTACCTTGAAATCTGTAAGCAAAAATATGTTTTATAGTTTATATATAATTTTATATATATATCATTGATATAATATGATTCTTATGGGAGAATTAAAGGTGTTATATACCTTAGAAATGTTTAAGTTTAGATTCATACAATTAATTATTTTTGATTAATTGACAAAATAAATACAACAATAGAGGAATATAAGATATTTAACTTGATAAAAGTTGTCTTAAATTTCAAATTTTGTTATAAATTCATTCGTTAATTTCCATCTTTAGGGATTGGTTTTTTCTTTAAAGACTGTGACCAAACGAAAAGTTTATCCCATCAAGTAAAAAAAATATTGCCAAATTCTGGGTTCTGAGGTAGTAAACATAAAAAACCTTCGTCCGCATCGGGAACCCCCTCCTTTTTTCGAAGTCGTTTAAAAGTAATTTTTACCAGAGCACTACACAACTAAACCAGTTTATATCTCAGTAAGCTTGGAAATGAAGATAGAAATACAAAATGGTGTCATCGTTTTACAAAAATTCCAATTAAATCATTTTTATTGGGCCCGCCAGCACAACTGCCGTTTCCCATAGTTTTAATGATTTTAAACTCCAATTAGGATTCCGTTCTAAAACTAATTTTCAAATAACGATTCATAGACGTTTTGCCGGACGATTAAGTTCAAGTATTACATTAAGGCTAGGTCAAAGTGGGGTTCTCATGACCGATGGATTGGCACGGCAAACTTGCATTAAGTTACTTACCAATTATAATGACTAAGGCGCTACGTTGTTAATTTTCTGGTTGAAAAAGTGTTGGGGAAAATTACATGTGATTTCAAAACGTGCCGGGGTCAATGCATAAACTCGTATGTAATATGTTGCTGTGTTTACGCGAAAATAGTAAATACTATCTTTTTCCAATTAATGTATCCCTAAAAAACAGTAGTTTCTTTTGTAAATGTTCATTGCGATCCATTACTTTTGGAAATCGTAATATGAAAAGCAAACATAAAAAACACTGGATGTTAAAAACAGTCAATTATTATTTGAAACTGTTTGACAAATGGGTATGAAAAGTAAACATTACCCAAAAGAGTTCAGTATAAATATGTATTCAGTAAGTTATTCAAAAAGAGATAAAGGGGAGAGAGTCTTTACGATCTTGGGTCTACACTGCTTTGGAATAGCTACAAAGTTCCCGTTTATTATAAATCTAATTTATTTTGTAAATAGCATTTATGCATCTATCCTAACGTTTAATCTAGGTCTCCTATAAGATTGAGGAACACAGGTGTGTGACCGCAGAGGACAGAAAAACTATAAAGAGTAGATCGTTACCAGTTAATATCATTAATGTTAGAATTTCCATAGATAGTAGAACGTAATTGTAATTTTAATCTTTCTTTTCTTATTATCTATAAAAGTGTTACTAGGGATTGCCCGACGTTCAATTTTCGGCTTTCGACTTATTTTTTGATTGCCTAATATAACTTGAACTGAAACTAACTAAACTTGTATAATATATTTTTTTTTTACCACAACAGGTCAAAATATATACTTGACCCCGACAGCTCATGTAGCCGTATTTATATAATTTTAACTCTGTATCACATACGAGTAATGTTTAAAAATTTTAGGATTTTGCAATCCTTCTGCATTTAAAACATTAAAAATACGAACAAAATATACTTTGTTGAAAAATTGTTACAAAGAATTATTTTTACGTAGTGTTACGTGTTAGGGTTCGTTGATTTGGAATGAAATGCCTTCTGACGACTTACGAGACTGTATTACTAATAAACTTAAATACGTTAATAGTCAGGCCCTCAATTTTGCTATTTTAATTTTGTATCAATAGACTGCCGATGGAATGTCGTCGAAATAGTTTTGCACTTTTCCTATTCTACTAACTATGTAAGGCCAATGGCTTCCCGATGACTTGTCACTGATACAAATGTCGTCAATGTCTTTGTAATAATTTATAATTAGTATAATGGTACATTTTAAATTGTAAGAAAATGATATATTTAATTTACCATTTTCAATTTTTCCAATTTTCTGTGAATTGATGTTAATAGAATACTGATATTTTGACCGCTGTCAATGGCGTCTCAATAGCGTGTCAATGAAATGACAGTGGCTTGGCTTTGCAGTGGCGTTGAGGCCCTGGAATGATCGCCGAGGTCACTGGGTTACTCTTCTGTTCGCTATTAATATTTATAAATTTAATATCATTTGTTTTTGTGCACTCGAATCAACGATGTGCAGATAAGATCATTAAGATTCTAGATTATAATATTATGTTTTAAAGATAACATATTGTGATTTCAATGTCGGGATTCTTTTTAAAGACATTATACGAAGCAAGGAAGTAATAGAATGTCAAATGTCATTTTTTAATATTTTACTTACAAACATTTGATGGTGTGAATTACAATATTAAATACATCGAGATTATATTAGTACGCAATATATCGATGATTATATATTATTTTAATCAAGTTAATCTTGTTTGACTCTTTTCCTTTTTTTAGTAGGTTATTCACATTGATTTAATTTGTAAGAACATTAAGTATGCAAATTAGAGTGGTGACCGTAAACTGTAAAAATTTGCGCATTGTATTTTTTGTATGTAATATTTTAAACATGCTGACAAAACACGGAAGTGTAGTCTAGAACTTATAATTTTGATACAATTTTGTATTTTATTTTTCATGCTAGTAATTATTCTAAAATAAATAAAATTCATTTTAAAATACAAAAGAAATATAACGCTATTGTTGATACCATTTTTCCGAGTATTTATTTTTCTAACTTCTCTTACTGCTCCTGTGTATAATTTAACAAATGAGTAATGTCGGGTCGCGTCTGTGCCTGTACTATGTAACCTATTTTAGAAATTTGTGCGTATATATCACAACTTAAACAAACTCACAGTATAAATTCAAAATTTAACGATAAAACTAATACTTCATCACACACATCACATCAAAAGCCTTTAATAGTCGACTGCTAGACATAGGCCTCTCCTTAGTAAGGAGGTTTTGGCCTACTATACCACGCTGGCGAGACGGGTTGGTATAAGGTTTGTGTCAAGTTGTCCTTCTTTTTGCAGTGCTGGTATACTGCGTTGTTTTGCTCCCTTAGTCGGCTCTTGCGACACCCACGGGATGAATTGGGGTAGTGACATTCCATATTCTTAATCCGTCACTACACGGACACGAATACTTAACTATAAGTAATTTACTATAGTTAAAAAACCCAGATTAATTATTTAGAAATATGCCCCTACAAGTGAACATCATTATTCGGGGAAATGCTTCATTATAACAAATAAAGTGTGCCTTAATTTTTTCTAAATTTGTGTATTTTCAGGTTAAACGAGACGATCCCAAAAATCACACCTTTGTACAGAACATTGAACATAAATAACTATAAACAAATTCGTATATTAAATTTGGACTTTCCAACACTTGAGGGTCCTGCTTCACACCCAAAAAAGTCAATTCAGGCACGGTTATTAGAAGCCACATCTGTATAATCGCACGTTAAACAAGAATTTACAGAAAATAAAATTTATCATTAACATTATGTCGTTATATAACATGTCATGTCATAACATACTGTCATGCAACTAATAGTGTCATAGTTACTTTTTTTTACGTCTTATTTTTGCGTATAATTTGTTTAATATCATTAGAAAACAAAACACAACTCTACGGCAAGAGATAACATTTCATTTGACAGCAGTTCGCTTTGTTCTTGGACAGTTTTTTAATTTACAAATATATAGGCACTTCTGTTTTTAAAGGTTTTATAAACGGTATGTCAAGAGCATTTCTCAAATTTGTATTTAATCAAAAGTTAGGAAAATAAAGAGACGAAACATTTTAATTATTTTACTATTCAAAAGTTATAATTGACATTTCGCTTCTCTTTTCGGAGTTATTTTTTTAATTTATTTACACACAACATTATTACATATTGTCTGAGACATTTTCTTATGGTCAAGTCAATCTATTATAACCTTTGTGCTTAGGAATAGAAGGGTGATTTGCGTGTCTTAAAGTACGTAGAGAAAATAATTTGAAGCTGTCACGTTCACAAGACTAACCTGTGAACTATTTCAAACTGCACTTATTCAAAGGTTCGATGTATTATTGGAGTGATGATATTTCATACCTCAAATGGCTTCGTCCACTATTCACTAAAAGTAATTTTTCGTGCTGTTGTTTTTGACTAGTTTTTTTAGTGCTAACAGTAGCAAGGTATTACAGTGAAAAGTGTCATGAAACTAACATATTAACTAAATATAAATTCGCAGTGACCTTAGAGTTGTTTCATCGAAAATAAATTGAATTATATGAATATCATAATAGGTCAATCTAGCTTTCATTAGTTTCGTTATACAAGCTCTGCTTGGGTTTGAAACTAGATGGCTTTGTGTGTCAGATGTCCGAAAATATCATTTTATCAAATAAGACACAAATGCAATGTAAAAACTAATAGTTAAGGTTCACAATAGTTAGTGCCCTATACACTTCACCGTTGTTTTGCAAGTGTGTGCGAGTCTTATATATATTTGTTTGTTGATTGTGTATGTGTTAAGACCTGGCGACATCGGTATTCGGGTGCTCATTTATTTCTAGTGCCTTATTATTACGATTTATATAATACGAATTCTAAGTAAGTATTATAGGCAAACATTATAATTATGCATATTGAAAAATACGGTATCAAAATATTTATTCTTACATTTGAAAGTCTAGTATTATTTAGCCGTCCACCGCAGTTTTTCATGCGTGATGTGAATAGTAAACGATTAGACTGGTCCCATGATGGTAAGTGCCTACCTTCGTATGGACGCAGGTAGACACTCCATGGGGACACCAGCAACTCGAGAGTCACAAGTGCGCGCTGCCCTTTGTGTGCCCCCCCCTCAAATCAAGGGAAGTAGTGGGGTTGGACCCCGGTTGGCTCACTCAGCTGTTAAAAAGAATTGAAAAACGACGTGAGAGGTGACCCCCGGTCGAAACGAAGTGTCGGAAAAAAGGTCTTGTAACACATTTTTCGGTCTCGCTTCCATCCGCTGAGAGCGTGTAACGCACGATAAGGAACTTCGTTCCAAAAATATTGCTCAACAGCGGTTTTTTGTGAGGCATCATTTGTCCAATACAAAAATATATTTAACTAACTGACAGTTCAAGAGATTAGGGCAGTATAAAAACGTAAAACTATTTTCAACTTACAGAAGTATAAGTGCATTAGTGTTGAAAATTATAACAATTCCTACAATTTATTTCTTGTTATCATTATCATTATTCTTGTTATAGTTCATAAGATATATTATGCAAAACCTACATCACACATTAGGCCGACCCCAAATAAAATAAGAAAAAAAAAGAGCAGAAAAATTATGAATGACGATATTTTCATAACTTATGTAATTTTCACAACAAATTCATTGAAAATAAATATATCTTATAAATAAGTGATTTCAATGAATTTGTCATGAAAATTACATAAGTAAGTGCAAATTACTATATGTAGTAAGTGAGATTAGTTACAGTCACTTTTACAATACGACTTAAATTTACATATCTCTGATTAATATAATCAGAGATATGTATATACATATAATTCTATTCAAGATTTATACACATTGCATGATGGTAGACCTTTGAACCTAAGTTATAAGCTTTTGAAGTTTAATCCAATACTATAATTAAACCAGACTGCAGTTTATTAATTTTGTGTCTCACAATATTTCAATCAATAGTGAATCTAAAATTAGAATTAAATGCTCCTTGCGATGAGGGTCGTACATGCAATTAATTTCTCTTGAAAAATTAAGCCTTTGATTAAAAATAATTGCATTAATGTAATTATTTTCTTCATAGTTCTTCATTGGGCATTTTTTAAATGTAGAAACTGCTTAAATGTTTTGTGCGTAGGCTCTTTGGGATCACAAGATAGAAGGTAGAAAATTATAACGCTTATTGTCAGACTGAAGAAATTGCCGTTGTCAAATACAAGTCAAATACAATTGGATTCAATACTCCTTTGTCCCTTAAATAATGTTGAAACTTTAACAGTTAGCGGTTAGTTTGGATTTTTCTAACGTAAGTGCAAGCACGGCCTTCGGAGCTTTTGACTGCAAAGTGATGAGTTAGATTCGGGTCTCCTACTTTCATATATAATATAGACTCCACAATATATGCAATTTTTTTTTGTATTTGGATAGCGTCGTATGAAATTTCTCAATATCTAATTATTACTACCTCTAATGCAACTACCTTTAATGCAAAAGCAATATTACTTGTGGAGCTGGTTATGCAAATGACGTTGCTTTTGCGTACACGTAGCTTTTGGGTACACATTATTTTTGGGTAAATGTTAATTTTGTGTACACGTTGTTTTAATGTAGTTGTGTTATGTGTTGTGTGTGTTGTTTTAATTATATACACGTTTAAAAAAACAGCACAGAACCGGTTGTTGTGATTTTGGTCGAGGCCTATGTCCAGCAGTGAACATTTTTCGACTGAAGTGATGATGATAATGAAATTGAATACTCAACTACGCAAACAAGAATGCAAAGATGTGTCCGTTCAATACGAAGGGAAGATGTTTCGGCCCGTCGAGGTGATCATGGCTAGCGGACCACGGCCCAACGGTTGATGTTGGGATGATGTATTATATGGTAATTGGCGTAATGGCACTGCATGTCGAAGTCACCACATTAGCTTACAATATCAATGTATGTAACAATAAATTATTCATAATAAAAATATTTCGGACATCTGGCACAACGCCATCTAGTTTCAAACTAAGCAGAGCTTGTACTGTGAAAGCTAGATTGACTTATATAAATACATACATTTTATACATAGAAAACACTTAAACTCCGAAACAAATATTTACAGATAATACAAACATTTGGTCCGACTCGGGCATCTAACCCGAAACCTCAACGTAACGCACAGTAGTCGCATAAACTACCACTGCGCTACCGAGGTGATTTTAATTGAATTTCCATGCGTTTGTTCCTTCCACGATATAAATATTATAGATTGATACAGTTAACATAGAAAGAGCTTGATTACTGTTACCCTTCCGCTTAGAGCAAAAGAGTTATCCATTATAGAATGCATGAGGATGAAGTAAGTTTATAGAGGAGGGTTTATACTATGTGATATGTGACCGTTTTACTTTTTTATATTAAAAGCCTAAAACTTCACACGCCTTACTCTCATCCGCGATCTTTTATTGCAATCCTGACACATGCAACTCTTTGGTTTCTTCTACCACACACAACACTTAACGCCACGATCAGATATTAAAAAATTGCCGTATAGACTAGTCTGAATTTGTTCTTAGGTAAAATTACCAAATCTTTTATTATATGTTTTTCAAGAAATCAATGCAGCACATACAATTTTGTATTTGAAGGTGGTCTAAAGAATTCATGACTGTCTCAAAAGCTCACAAAGTTCTTATATTAGCGATACATTCGTATTATTCCTTAAACTATCAAACTTTTTAAAATGTAGTCCTTGACCAACTATCCTTGTGTGTTCTAAATTGGATTTCAATCTCAAGGAGCATTCCAAGATTATGGAGTATTGGTATCATGAAATCAAAAGAAAATTATGTAGTATTGGTATTTCAAGACGTCTTTCTTTGCGTCACGTCTATTGTAGAAATCAAATGGCCATTTCAAAATCACAATATCACAATAGTAGAGAGAAATCCTATCTACTACATATTAAAGTGTAGAGGATGAAACCAATATCAGCGTTAAATGTGCGACCGCAATAAGGACAGGTAAACAGCTTAACACTGATTGGAAATTTAGCCGCAGTGGCCGCGATCGGAACGAGGTTACCTTTCCTTTCTAATCTGATCCTCTAGAGAGCAGATATTTTGTATATAGAGATATAACCTAGAACGATAAGATTTATTGAACAATATTTATAAAAAAATAGGTATAAGTTTTAGTAAATAAACTTTTTTTTATGACTTCATGCACAAATATATACATCGGCGGACTTAAAGCCTAAGGGATTCTCTGCCAGTAAACAGATTGGGCGATGCTGAGAAAGAATGAGGTAGGTGCACTTGGACTAATCCCACCCACACGCCCACCACTGTAACTCCTGTACACCAGGATCCACAGCAGTGACCCACGAACACACCGAGTTATGACACTCGGGAAGTCCCAGGAAGAAATTAACTGTCTTGGAACCCGCAACGAAATGAATCAGAAGAAAATTGGAGGAGTTGGAAATACAGTAAATCCACTTTCCTCCTTAGCAAAGCGGGAGACAAAATGAAGTAAAATGGGCATACACCCTTTTAAACAGGAAGCACCACGGCCACAAATATTAAGGGTCCTACGTGAGCTATGTTTGATTTCTATAATATGTATGGCAGAATCGCCTAAACGCACGGAAATTCACCTTAGTTGACACAAGATCCCCATAGTATACCGCCCCAGATGTCACCTGCAAGCCTTCAGCATTATATTACGTTCATTATACCAAAGACTACATTCCCAGAGGATATGATGAGCAGACTGTTCATAGTGAGAGTTAGGTGTTGAGCATTGACACAATGGTCAATTGACTAATTTAAATGAATAAAGCTTGCTCTTAAAGTTACCATGACCCGTAAGAAATTGAGCGACACAGTGATCCACCTCAAGCCATATCCTCGACAATCGTTCGCGAACAGATGGAAAGAATTAGTAAAGATGGCGCCCCTTGGATGATTCTTCCCAGCGTTGTTGCCATTCGTCTATGAGGTCATTATAGAAATCGGGCTGCTGTTGAAGCAATCTTGTAATTTTACCGCGATCTCGCGCGCCCAAAAAATCGCATTCCATGTTTTGTTGTCTTGAATAGTACATGGCTGCACGTCTCTGCACCTCGAGATCGACCGGAAGCACACCCGCCAACACCGGCAAAGCCTCAGTGCTAACCGTCCTATATGCCTTACACAAGAATATCAGTGCAAGTCGTTGGCCTTGTAACAGTTTGCGACGGACAGCGCCTACGGTCGCCCTATCGGCCCATACAGGTGCACCATAGCACATAGAACCTAAATAAGTAGCTCCGTATATGATCTTTAATGTATTAAATGATAGACCCCATGTCGCAGTTGATATTCTTGTCAATGCACAGAAACTCTTTTTAGACTTTTCATTAACTATTTTAATATGTTCGATAAATGAAAAGTTTCTTTCTAAAACTAATCCTAGGTAACACACTGAGGTTTTATTTTTTACAGTAACATTGTCAAATCTAATGCTTGGCGGTGATTTGAGGTTACCTTTTAAAAGTAGCTGGAAGGTTTTGTTGGGTGCAAAAGTTAAGCGATTACGTTCACCCCATTGTGATATCAAGTTCAAACATCTATTGGCTGATCTCTCAAGTCCCGCCCTAGTATCAGATTCCACCAGTAATAAGCCGTCATCAGCATACGCGTTCAGAATACATCCGGATGGTATTGGTATCGCAAGAAAATCGTCGAAGCCGATATTCCACAAGTATGGACCTAGCACCGATCCCTGAGGACATCCCATTGTAAGCGCCTTCGACACAGAATGATGACCAAGTCTTAGTTTAGTTGTACCTTGTGAAAAGTACGAAGAGATAAGGGAATAAATATTTTTAAAGCACCCTCGTCATTTTAATTTCAGCAACAGCATGGGCCACCATGCGTTGTCGAAGGCGCTAGATATATCTAAGAAAATAGCCAGCACGTATTGAAATTTTGACTCTGTGACAAACTTTCTGACCGATATAACAGCGTCAGTTGTCGATTTACCCAACGTAAATCCAAATTGTCTATTATGAAATTTGACTAGACCTGGCAGAAGCCGGGGCACTACAAGACTTTCTAAAAGCTTTCCTAACGATGGTAACAATGTGATTGGTCGGTAGGATTTAGGATCATCCGGTGGCTTGTCGCCACTTTTTGGTATTATACGAATATTACCGCACCGCCATATACGAGGAAAATTTTCCTTCAGCAATGCAACGTTTAAAGACAGTGAAAATCGTGTCACCCGAAAGTTTACAAGCTTCTTTTATCATTTTGTTAGATATTTTATCATCGCCCGAAGCCTTGTTTAGCGGCAAGGATCGAATGATTGATTTAAATCCGGCTCGAAGGACCACGATGTACGGGTTATGGTTACCGTACAGGGAAAATAAAAGATAGAGAATGATTTAAATTTTAAACATCGCTTGTAACTTTGTTCG